GCAAAGGGTGGACCAATGTCATATTGAACCCTATGGATTAGGAATGGGATGTCACTTAGAGTAAGTTCATATGTGAGTAAAGGCAGGTGAGCGAATACTTTTGGCAATATAGTGTATTTTAATGAGAGCCTCATTGAGCTATTCACTTATTCACTTTGTATGACTTTCCAACTTACCAACAGTGATTCTGGCAGCTAATACACAATTAAAACCAAAACCAAACAGTTAAGATAGCACAGAGGAGAACATGCTATAAACTGAGGCCAATCTACAATCATCCAGTTGTTGCAGACAGGTTCATCCAGCATTCTGCCTCCATGCTGAGAGAAAAGCCAGATTTTCAAAGCCTTATGGAAGGGTTGGAACACCTGAATCTTATGGATTCAAAACTGAACCTTGTGGGGCAGGCTATAAGTAAATCAAACAATTATTTTATCACAAATATAATATTTGAACTAGTTTTGAAGATAGTGATTACCTCATGAGTATATCAGTAACAACGTTTTTTGATTGTTTCATTTAGTTTACTACTCTATATAGTGAATTGCTTTTTATATACTTTGTAGACACTCAAAACTACAAATTTAAATTGGAGATTATATGGCTAATTATATGTCTTAAGATTCCAGTATTTCAATTAATTCTGTAAAAACATTAGATACTGACCAGAGGTGGTATTCAGCAGGTTCTGACCAGTTCTGGAGAACCGGTAGCAAAAATTTTGAGTAGTTCGGAGAACCAGTAAATACCACCTCTGACTGGCCCAACCCCTTGTCACGATGTTTTTTGTTTTGTTTTGCCAGTTGTGCTTATATTCTAAAATATACGGTAGGCTGACTTTTCTCTGTAAGCCTACTACCGCATGTCTCTTTTGCCTTTTCTTTTTTCTTTTTCTGTTTGCCTGCAACGAGGAGGTAGGCTAGGAATTTTACCAGAATGTAGTTATTAGCCAGTAAGTTTGTTTGTTATTTATTTTACAATAAAAATGTGTTTTCTTAGAATCTACCTCATGTTTATTTTACTTAATCATAAGGTATACTCCAAGAAAAAACCATGATTCACCCCTCATCAAACACAGGGCTGAATTTACAACCCTCACACCCCTATCTACACTCTGCCTCCTGAGCCCTAGCTGATTGGGAGGGAATGGAGATTTTGCAATATCCTTCTCCTGCCATGCCTAACAAGCCACCCTCACAGAACCGGTAGTAAAAAAATTTGAATCCTACCACTGATACTGACCATAGTATCTTATTTCCTGGAGACATTGTACATTTTATGTTCTATGATACTACATTGATATTTTTGTCTAGTGGAAAACTGGTTTGGATGCAAGGTGTAGTTAAATAAAAAAAATATTTTTCTGACACCACTTGGATATGAGAGATATAGAAAAGGGTTTATGTCCTATATACACTGCACTCAGTTGTGCACTTATTTTTTTAGGGATAAAGAAGAACAAAAACAACCAGTGACACAGTAAGTAAAAAAACAAAAACACAAGTGCAGTGAGCTTTACTTCTCTACCTTTGCCATTTTCTGCTTTCTGCACCTTTGATGGTTTTAAACTAATACCAGATAGGCTGCAGTTAGTTTTCTGCTTTCGGATTGGCTTGTAAGAGCTGCTTTCAGTGTGTTATTTCATCCACATTTCAGTTGGATGTGGTTTTCTTGCTACCTGCTTGCGGATTATTCTGGTTTAAAACTATTCTCCCCTAAATCCTAACTGTGGCTGACTTAATTGCAGCGAACATTTCCATTGGCTGTAGCTTTCCTGCATTTACATGATGATGATAATGATTATAGAAAAAAAAATTATACTACTATGATTTCATTTGGTTATTCAGTCACATTATTTGCTTATTTGAACAGGTGGTTTCCCTTTAGTGGGCTCACTGAGCTGGTAAATAACGTTCTTCAGCCACAGCAAAAACAACAAAATGAAAAGGAGCCCCAGACGTAAGTAAGCTACTGTGTGTAGATTTAGTTTCACTCTAACATTGAGACATACCAAAGGGTATGTTTAAGTGATAACTCTAAAACAACATCTTTTAAATTGGGGCTGAATTCTTAATACAGTTTTTCTGGGGAGTAAATTCCACTGAATACAGTGTTATATGCTAATTAGTTAGCAGGTATAAAACTACACTAAATAACCAATGTTGCTTTCCAAATTTTCATTGATAAAATGAATTGTACCTGGCCTTTAATTTGGTTGATGGGAATGCAAGGTGCCACTTGCGTTCATATAGAACCAAAACATATAGAAAGTTAAGTAACCCTGCTTAACTTTCACATAAATAAATATACTTTAAATATTAAATACATTTAACTTTTAGATAAATACATATACATGATTGATATGACTGTGCAATTGAAATTTCAGTCCATTTTAGCTGCCTAAAAAGTTTGTATACATCTAATACTTTATACATCGCCACTGAATCATTCCTTGTCAATATTTGTCAAGTTGAAAGGCTTTGGCTGACAATGTTTTTGGTTGGGTGACATTTATAAATGGCTAGCCCTTGAGTAGAAAGTCAGAAATTAATTCCTTTAAAAAAATACAGTGATTGTAACAGTAATTTCAAAATAAAATACATAGGTGTATATTTAAAAGAGCTGAACATCAATCGTTTTTAAAGCAGGATATAAAGTGTATATTATATTTTCTGAAGTTTTAAAAGTGTCTTTCAATTTTGGAGGATTGAACATGATGGCATGGATTAGACTCTTTATCTTTATGTATTGGTTATATTCACCTCTGAAATATTTTGGCACATAAATTACTATTGTTTCAGTACTAGCAGAATAATACAATGAAGATAAAAGAGGAAAATATAACTTTGTCAGACATTCCTACTAATTTATGAAAGTTATTCAGGCATTGAAAATGGTTTGTTGTATAATTTGGGGGAGAGACAAAACATTTTATCTTTATTATATGCAATTTTCTTGAAAATTTCTAATAGGTATATTTTATATTAAGTTATTGCCATCCATATGATAATTAGAATTTAAATTTCAATCCTAGTTTTTATCTATACAAACTATAGTAATATTGAAAAATGTAGGCCATGGTTTAGGTACACATATGTATGTAGTATTCATAATACATAAGGTATATAATTGAGGAAGATCATATTTCGGGGATTAGTCTAGGATATAATACTACTATCATAAGAGATATGTTATTTATGAATTGATAGGAACATGAACATTAGATCAGAGCTGTATACAAATATATCCATGCATAACTTTTGAATCTTAATTCTGTTTTTATTTTTTTAAGTATTTGATGTTTCCAACTAGTCTACTAACAATTCCATTGAAATCCACTGACCTTCTTAATGCTATTTTGACTATGATGTAGCAAAACAGAAACTGTGAAGTTATCTGTTTGCTTGGATAAGAATTCTTTTAAGTGACTAAAAATAAACCTTGAACTAGCTGGTGTGATATAGTTTTATCAAGGTTAAAATGCCTGCTGGTTAAGAGATGATACATTTCTTGGTCTCTTTTTATCTGTCCTGCACTCAATTTTAAAAAGATCATTTTCGTAATCATTCAGACAGATATGAATCCTGTAGAAGCATCTTGTATGTGCTTTTAAAACTTTTAAAACTATGACTTTGACTTGTATTTGTTGACTGATATTTTTTATTTCAATATACCATTGTTTAGTAGCTTTGCATATTCAGTACCACTATTTTCAGCCTTCTAGAACTCTCAGGCTTCCTTTAACCTTACTGTTGCTTATAGCTGGGGTCACTTTTTAAGACTCTAAAATTTCTTTCCTACCCACTCTCCATCACGCTCAAAATCTTTAAAATATTTCAAGAACAGTTCTCTAGTTTCTGCATTTTCTAAGCTTCAATATACTGTATATACAATTAAGATTTTCCTTTCTCATGAAATGCAATATACAATTAATTAAGCATAATAATACATATTATATGCTTAATTACAATGAGCATAGCTTCCCAATTGACAGGGAGATTCTAAGTGAAGAATTCAACACTGTGATTATAATTCTTTTAATTTAATATATGAAGTGTGCCCTAGTAAAATGAAATTCATACAAATGCTAAACACACAAGCAACAGATTTGTAAACATTTATCCTGACAGACCCATATCAAGTGAAAATTTGAACAAAGTCTTGCTTGTCTTTATGGGGGTTTGAGATTTCCAATCTTATGGAAAGTTGCTACATATATGGTTTTTCTTCCAAAATCCTACTATTTAAGTTGCTGATGGGAATTGTGAATGTGATATTGCTTTCACTTTACTTGTCCCATTAAGATTTGAGAAGGAGATAAACTAATGAACATAATTACTAAATAAAGGATAAGAAATCCAAATTAATTTCTAGTAGTTTTAGAGTTATATTATTATTTGTTCATCAGTGGTTTATAATTAGTCTTATAGAGAATATAATGATAATACATTAGCAGTATTTTGGGTCCCCCTCCCCGAATAACAATTGTTGAAATAAAAACATCTTGTGATCAATCAAAATAAAAATTTGGTATCTTCAGGTATACATGGTGAATCCATTTAATTTGTTTAGAGAAAAAATGCATTCCCACTGCACAAAAATATTTAATTCACATGGAAACACCTAAATCGTTAATTGCAATCTAATTTCCAACTTAAAACTCTCCAAAGCCTAGTTGTTACTAGAGCTGCAAAGAATTTTATTTGATGGAATGTTTTTGTTAAAAAGTGTTTTTGACGAACCCTCTGTGGGCATGCATGCGGTCACCAATTACTCTTCTGGTTTCTGGTACATGCATGCATGCCAGCCAGCTGGTCTTCATGTATGCCGGAGCGTTGGAAACCCAAAGACCAACTGGCTGGTGAGCATGTGCCAGCTGGTCTTTGGGTTTCTAGTGGTCCAGCACTCACAAGTTCTGGTTTGGGCACTTGGTGCCGAAAAGGTTCGCCATCACTGCCCTATACACATCTCCTTGAGGTTTTATCTTAGCTTCTTTGGTCATTTAGTGTATTTTTGTACTTTTTTCATGGGCCCTAAGAAACTGAGCAGTGGTAGCGCTGAGCAGAAAATTACTTTGCACCTCCATTGATCAAAAAAAAGAAAAGAAAAAGTAGGCAAATATGAGATTGGTACTTGTATTTGGATTACTGATCTTCCTAGGGAATACAGTATGCCTAGAACAATGGTCTCCACCATCATTAAGAATAAAGAAGCAATTAAAAAGGCTGATGTTGTGAAAGAAGTTAAAGTAGTAACAGAGCAGCATTCCCAAACCCTCAAGGAAGTTGAAAAGCTGTTATTAATTTGGGCAAACGAGAAGCAGTTAGTGGGCGACAGTGTGTCGGAAGGCATGATATGTAAAAAAAGTATGTCGGATGGCATGATGTGTAAAAAATCCAAACTGTTGCATGCTGATCTCTTGAAAAACAAACCGGGACCAAGTGGTGAGACTGTTGAAGTTTTTAAGGTCAATCATGGCTGGTTTGATCATTTTAAAAAGTGGACCAACATCCATGGTGTTGTTAGGCATGGCGAGGCAGCGAGTGCTAATAAAAAGGCTGCTGATGAATCTGTCCCTGAAATTCATGACTTCATAGGGTCTGAGGGTTTTATTCCCAGCCAAGTTTTTAACTCTGATGAGACCAAACTTTTCTGGAAAAAAATGCTAAGTAGAATCTACATCCCAAAAAGGAGAAGGTATCACCAGGCCACAAACCAATGAAGGACAGGCTTACTCTATCGTTGTGTGGGAATACTAGTGGGGACTTAAAATCAAGCCTCTACTATTCTATCATAGTGAAAACCTGTCAGTTTTCAAGAAGCATAATGTCATAAATATCAAACTCACTTGCGATATGGAGGGCAAACAGGAAAGTTGGATAATGGGGCAATGTTTTACCGAATGGATAAATGAAGTGTTTATGAAACAATATGAAACATATTTGCTGGAGAAAGATTTGTCTCTGAAAGCTTTCCTAATAATTGACAATGTACCTTCCTAACCTCCAGGTTTGGAGGATTACTAACTGGAGGAGTTCAGCTTCATCACTGTAAGATTTCTACCCCCCCCCCAACACTATCTCATCCAGCCCATGGATCAGCAGGCCATTTTAAATTTCAAAAAGTTGTGCACCAATTTGTACACTAAGGCGCTTTTCCAGAGGTCTTTGAGACCATCTCTGCCATCTAGGTGACCCTCACAGAATTCTGGAAGGAGCATTTCAATATCCAATATCATCTTATTGATAAGACCTGGAACGAAGTCTTTTATAAGACAATGAATTCGGCATCAAAGAATTTGTGATCAGAAGCTGTGACTCAGAGAGACTTTGAGGGTTTGAGCCTGACAATTGTGTCTTTTGGCCAGTCCATGGGTTTGGAGGTCAATGCTGCAGATGTTGAGCAGTTAGTGGAAGAACATCATGAAGAGCTGAATCTGAGGAGCTGCTGGAACTACAGAAGGAGTATCAACAAGAGGAGGCTAAAGAGATTTCTTCAGGTGAGGAGGAGATAAGAGAGGATGTCCCCAGTTCCTTGATAAAAGAAATGTGTGCACAATGGGTAGAAGTTCAAAACGTGGTGGGAGAAGTACCATCTGGACAAAGCTCTGGCAAACACAAATGTGAAATTACTCAATGACCAAACAATTTCACAATTCTGAAAAGAAGACAGAAGCAGTCCTCATTGGATAGTAAAGGTGACAAAAAAATGCTTCAGAGCCTGTGGTGCAAGTTGAAAAAAGGCAGAAAAGAGAAAGAACACCTGAAATGCATGTCATGTCCCAGTGCGAGGGGACTTACATACTGAGGTGAGACATTTGGTAAAAGCTAACAGTCTTTATTGCTAACATTGGAGGCAGTAAGCAATAGTTTGATGGCTAGTGCAGCTGCTTGGCTAACAGGAGCAGCAGCTGCCAGTCCTTTGATATCGCCTTATATAGTGGCACCAGTTTCTCCTCA